GGGTTGCGGGGCAGCATCATACAGTATCCCCTACGATTCCGATCCTGCTCTTGATTTCGTCTGAGTTTTGGCACGAGATGACCTAAGTCTGGGGCAGAGTCCGTCGAGGCACTTGCCCAAGGTCACTTTCTGCCGTCCCGGGCGTTTCCGATCAGTCCGTCGTGCAAAAGTTGCTGTTTCGCCTTCGATTCTGCAAGCACTCGCAAAATATGCCAAGTCTGACCTCTCACTCTGAAGAAGCAGAGGTAGAGGTTGCACGCCTAGACATTTTCGGATATTTGACTCCAAACTCAGTGATTTGCCTCAAATACGAGATCATCCGATGTTTACAAAAGCAACTTCTCTGATTCTTAAATCGCTTAACTTCACCAAGGTTGAAGAGGGCGAGTTTGAGACGACGACCTTGAACAGTTGACAATAACAAGAAATGAATTTGTAATGGGAGGAAAGGTTACAAAATAAAACAAAAGCCCTGGAAGTGTGGGAGTTCATGACCAATACAACCTCTAGTGAACCCCCCTCTCTTCATGACCTGCAAGCAAGCACTAAGAATATTATAAACAATTAACTTGTTACGTTTTCCACCATCTGCTTCTTCTTCCTCCTCTACGTCCTTCGCCTGTTCTACTTTTTCTTTCTCCTGTTTTTTCTTCTCTTTTTCACTCTTTTCTCCTTGTGTGTCACTTATTTCTCCTCTTTCTCTTCTCTTATTGCATTCTATTTCTCACCTCTTCTCCGTCCTTTTCTCATTCCTCTCCCGAGTCTTCTCTTTTTCCATTTTCTATCTTTCTCTTTCTGTTCTGATTTTTCTTTTTCCACTTCTCGATCTGCCTTTCTTGTTCTTCCAGCACTTTTCTGCTGCATTTTCTTCTGCTTTTTTCCCTCTTTTATTTTTGTCATCTATCTAACACATTGCAAAACTTCACCTACTGTTTCGGTAGTTTAACATATCAATAATAGATTTTCATCTGCGAATGCTCTGCTGTCAATCGAATTCGATTCAACTACCTCCTGAGATGATAACTGAGCTTCTGCAAGTAATTGCGTCATGATAATGCATTTTTTAAATCAATCATCCGCCGACAAATGAATAGACACAATGGAATATAAGCAGGAGAATATACAATGGCATATGATTATTAACGTTGGCAGGACGTCGCTGATTTGCACACAGCGTGTTGCTCGCGCGGAC